CTCCCAAACCGTTGGACATACGGGAAAATTGCATCAGACCTTTCTTGTAGAGGACGACGAGATCTACAATTTCCGTATAAATTTTTTTCTCTAGCATTAATATTTAACGAGTAATTTGCAAAAAACTATTTTTTCGTTTTTCGTCAATAACTCGTTAAATATTAATGCTAGCGAAAAAATTTTTCATGGAAATTGTAGATCTCGTCGTCCTCTACAAGAAAGGTTGTATGCAATTTTTCCGTATGTCCAACGGTTTAGGAGTAATTGAGGAAAAATGAAATTTTTTGCCAAAAGTTCGCCGTTTCGACGCTGGAATGGTCGGATTTTGTCAACATCAATAAAATGCCATATAATCATATGTAACTCGTTAAGTATCGAAGTTAGAAGGAAAATAACTTTTATTTCAAGCATTTTTCGCAATTTTGAAAAAACAGAAGCCTTTAAGAAAGAGAAAGGAAACAGAAGAGGTTTTCTCCGTAGCCAAATGACGTCGACCAGCTGTAAGGACGTGACGGCCATTTGTTTTCGTACGTGAAATTAAGAGAAGTACCGTGCCCGAGAACCATTTCCGTCGCGAATATTCGTCTTTCCGACTGCGCAGCTCTCTCTAGCCGAGTCCCGGCCACTTAGTACCTACTCCCGGGAAACACAACACTCCCTGCAACCCTAAACGTCGCGAACCCTGCCTCTCGAAATATTACATTGCATATCCTATAACGTGAAATCCTGCGTTATACGGCTGGCTGGATTCTCGAGAATTTATCGTGGCCGCGAAATAAAAAGGAAGCCGAGATGCCTCCCCCGTAAAAGATATTATGTTCTCGGAGGCGTATAACCAGAAACCGGACGCACGTAACCGAGTGGGATTTACGTTCTAACCGCGGGGGTCGGATGTACACTAATATTTCAGGCGATCGAGCACCGGTACAAGTATTACGCGTACCACTCTGGCAGCCACTTTTTTCACTTCTCTATTTCGCCTCGTCAACGCCGATATTCCGATACCTTCGCCATTTTTTCACAATCTACGAACGCTTCTCGCGTATCCTAGAAACGTTCAGAGAGACAGAAGGGAGTACCCCGATTGTTTTCTCTCGATTTTCCAATTTTCATTGAAAGCCCGCCACGCTTTCCGGAGAGATCGACGGATCATCGAAAGGGCGAGGGACGAGAAACGAACATAGCAATAGGAAAGAATAGGACACAGTTCTCTCTGTTAGTTGCAGACTTAATTAGATCGATGTAAACCGTAAAGTGTAAGAAACGAGTACAGCGAGATTCACGACTTTTTACTTGTAAACCGAGTTACCGAGTACTCGATAAGATTAATAACATTAAACGCGGTTCGCTAAAAAAAAAAGAACATTACGTAGCGTTTAAGATATGTGCGTCGCGTTCGTCGAATTTGGCTAGGGCCGGGAGTAATCCGTAAAATAATTATTGTAAAGTGTCGTTTATCATAAATACTGTTAACAAAGCTACGCGTATTATAACGATCTCTCCTTAGGTGGTCGACCGAATTTTTTGCAAACCAAACTTTTCGACGAATCCTCTCTGTATCAATAACTTCAATTAACCTTACCCTAAACTTAAAACGCGATGTTAAACAAACCAGCGTTAAACGAGAAAGACGTAATCGTGCGAATAACTAAGAGAGAACGAAGAAATGGAACGAGATCAAACGACTAATTTAAGAGAAAGGAGAACGTTATATAAAAGAAAGAGAAATAAACGATCATTCTAATTATATTAATTAGACTCGTACCGTCTCTCTGAAACCTAACGCGACACGCGACGCGTCGTCACGAGATATTAAACCTAATGGATTAACGAGAAGACACGAGGCATACTTTGTATTTATACACATTGTACACAGATATGTATATTACTATTGTTACTAACATTATATACCTATATTCTTATTATTATTAACAGATTGCCGTTATTCTTATTATCGCCATTGTCACTCTCGTTCTTATCGTCATCGATCACTATTATACAGGGTGTCCTAGTAACTTTGTTACAAGAAGACATCTCGGTTATATTCCTAATACGCAAAAATATCAAAGGGATGAACTGCTTAGTTTGGAAGAGCAAATTCTTTGACAGACAGTGTTAAATGCTTTCTTTAGTAGATCATGGCATTACACGTTGTTAATACGTTATAATGATAGAAATATACAATCCCATTTAACGAAACATCGAATTATTAAAAATCTCTCTATACAAATATTTACCCCTTCATCCCTCTAACATTTTTGTTTATCATTACTAATAACCGAGACAGCACCGTGTAACTAAATTACTGGTGTACTCTGCATATAATATATAAATATATTGAATAATCCAACGTCGCCGTAGGGATCCAACGATCGACTTTAATTATTATTTCGGTCCGTCGAGCGGCTGTCCCTGTGTCTATCCGAGATTACGCGGCGCGGGATCGTCCGTTCTATCCAATTACTGATTACTAATTAACACGCGGTATACATTTGAACGGTTGATCAAAAAGTTCGATTAGTTAAATTGTATCGGCGAGCTTCGACTTATCACTCGATTATTTTCCTGCGTACAGACTCGTAAAATTTGCATCCAGGTAATCTACCAATAACAATATACTGTTTCGAAAATTACGCGAATTAAACAGTCAATTGAAATTCAACGATACGCCGCGACAATTTGTCGTCGCAGCAAATTCTAATATAACACAATACGGGCATTATCCAATTCTTTATTAATTTAGCTCGCCTCCATTCACGCACTTTTCAAAGTCCATAACGCTCTGTTAGCGCGTTCGATTATTATTATTCGCGTTCTTCATCGAAACGACAGAACCGTGGACGCAGAGTGTTTAGATTTCCAATTGCGGAAAAACAATTTCGATATGAACCGCGTATACTTAACCGGCGTTTCAAAAAGCCGCAGGGTGAATTAAATTTGTTACAGCGTCGGTGGCGTCCGAATTATTAAAAAAAAATTTAATTCTCTTGAACGACGATCGCGCGCCCAGGACCGCCGCGAAACGGTCTCTATCGATAATATTGGAGCAATGAAATCACTGTGATATCACTAAAACGCTTTCAAGGTGTGTGTTGAAATCAACAATTATTACAGCCGCGCCTGCTGGGCTGGGCGTAGCCCAATGTTTTCAATAAACAGATGGCAAAATGGAACTGCACAATTCGAGGAGATAATTGAATACGAGAGAAAGAGAGAGAGGGAAGGAGGAGGTACGACTTATGTGGGTATCGATTCGCGTAAATAATTACTGTAAATCGTATTATATTGTATATACGTATATATTCATACTTATAT